CCCTCGCCTTCGGCTCGGGCCGCAAACCTCTCGGTTCGCAAACAGAGACTTTTCAAACTCGTAGGAAAACTACTTTTTTTCCGCCCTCGGGCGGTTTTGGGAGGCTGGTACTCCCTCGGGCGAAAAAGCAGTTTTCCGGAACTCGTTTAAAAAGTCTCCTTCACGAACCTTGTACGTCCCTCGCCTTTGGCTCGGGCCGCAAACCTCTCGGTTCGCAAACAGAGACTTTTCAAACTCGTAGGAAAACTACTATTTTTTTAATTTAAAATGTAGGCCTCTGCCATTAGTCAGGAAATATTTTTAACTCTGTAATCAGCCTTTCGGATGGCCTTTTGTAATGCTAGGAATCTCTAGAGAGTCGCAGCATTGTCAAAAAAAGAAGAATATTAGAAACAAAAGTGTCCAAAACTTTAAACGCCCGTATTTCGGTTAATAATGAAGATAGGGCGAAATAAGCCTTATTCTGGAATCATCAAAATTTTAAATAATTTTTTTTTTTAATCCGAAATCTAGGCCTCTGCCATCGGACAGAAAATATTTTTAACTTTGCAGTTAGCCTCTAATATGGCTTTATGTATTGCTGGGGATCTCTAGAGAACCATAGCAATGTCAAAGCAAANGGATCACTTAATTTACGAAAAAAATTTTATCTCTATTTTTAATTATAGGCCTTTGCCATCGGTTAAAAAATATCTTTTCTATGCAATTAGTTTCTAGGATAGTCCCTTGTATTGCTAGGGACCTCTAGAGCGCCACAGCTTTGTCTAAAGGACGGAATATTTGGAACAAAAATGTCCAAAACTTCAAACGCCCATATCTCCGTAAATAATGGAGATAGGGCGAAAAGAGTCTTATTTTGGGATTATTTGAATTTATACTAATTGGTATATCATTCGCATATACTACGCCTTGGCTTGTTTTTTGATAGTGATTTTTACAAATGATATAACTTTTAGGACAGGCCGTAGTAACACTAGAAACCTTTATTGAGCTACGGTATCAATTAAAGTTTACAATTCTTGGCTTATGAAATGTTTGAAAATTTAAATGCAGCTTGTATCTTCGTAAATGTTGGGTATTTTTAAAATATGCAATAATTTCGAATCACTCTGATTTTACACATTCCGATTATTTGCCTGTGCCATCATTTGATTAATATGAGCTACAACTCAAACGATCATCTAGATAGTCCAGTTAATTACTCTGAACGACTATACTAAGCCATGGATTTACTGAATGTCGAAACCTTTTGCCTGAAAAGAAGGTCTAAATTTTAAACGTTCACATCCAAAAGCCAAAAGCGATGATTCTGGGTGATGAAAATGTATAAAATATTTTCTTATCAACGCATACCAAGCTTTCGTTATTGTTTTAATAATTTCCTCAACAATCAATATATCTTTCTAGTCTATATCATATATCTTTCGGTCACTGTGTTATTACCGACGAACTGCAATGCCGTTACATTCATTTTAATTTTGTATTCACAGCTGAAGTAATAGCTCATTATATTACATTTAGTGTTTTTTGACATTCATACACAAAACATACGGCATCTACTCGTATTCACATTTGCCTAAAAATTTGTAGTGTGCAATTCAATTTATTCGCTAAAAACATTTCTAAATCTCCAACAGTAGGTAACTGCAAGAAATCGAAACTTTAGCTAGGGTTGAGAACTACTTATCAATATAGTGACAAATTCTTTATATTTTCTGGCATTTCTTAAAAATTGTTTTTTACCAACCATTAGACCATACATTTGATACTTGAAATGATGTAAGCCCGTCCATTCGCATAGCGGTTCACTGGACTGGGATCATTCCCAACCAATCAGAAGGACCCGTTAGCCCTGTATTGCCAATGATAAGATGGGAAGATAGGATACCTAAGTAGACAGACAAGCTTAAAGTATCAGGCCCATAATAAGCATACAAACTGCTCTACATACCTACAAAACACATACTTAAACCATGTTTACTATTTATTATGTTTTAATAAGACCTGCTTTTTCAAGTATCCAAAGTGTGTTTTCACTTATTTCTGTTATGTAGACGTTATGTAGACGTACTATTCAGAATTCAGAGTTAAATGCACATCATAACCATATCTGCGAGTGCAAATTTTTATTATTTGGAGACTCATACTTAAGTGGGTAATAATGAACCACGAGAATTCGATTGTTATTCGAGACGACGATGAGAATAGATCTGCGACGTAGTTTTGGATATTTTTTCGACTTTGCTCAAATTCAATTTCTGCTCTACAATCTGGTCAACCGCATCATCATCATGTTTAGCGGTTATATGTTTGTATAATTCTTATATTGACCAAAACGTCACTAACTGCTTTTTATCTATACTTATCTAATTTAAATTTTGTCTTGTATGATGTGTGGCATATTAGTAATGATGACGATGAAGATGACAGTCAAGAGGATTATGTCCAACCCACTGTTAGCCCTAAGAATTCAACTCTTAGGGAGAGCACAGAAAAACTGGACGTAAGTAAATATTCACTAATGCCTCGTGTTTCAACAATATTCTTTTGTCCAGTATACAATAATGACAGTATCGAATTCACAGAAAAGTGACTTGAGTTTATCAATTAAACAAGCTTGCTCATTAAACAACACATCCAAACTGTCACTGGCAGTCAAAATTAGAAATAGAGAGCTTGGACCAAGTTTCACAAGTGGTGAAAAAGCTAGAATAGCTTGTACTTACTTACCTAATCATGATACCTTAGTTACAAAATATAACAAAAAACCATTTTGTGGCACTTTTTCACAAGATGGAAAATATTTATTAACAACCACTCACGGTAGGTATCAATCAATTTTAATTTAAACTTATTCTTTATACCCATTTTGAAAAGTAGTTTATTTTTTCATGAATATCGATTTTTCAGATAGAGTTATTCACTTGTATGAACATCATAAGAGTGATTACAAAGAATACAAAAAATTTTTTGTATCATCAGTTGGATGGAGTATTTTGGATACTGCTTTTAGTCCAGATGGCAATTATTTTGTCTACTCAAGCTGGTCTGATTACTGTAAGTGATTATTAGCTATTATTCCTAATATTTCATTTTTAATGGAATTTTATTTAACAATAACGTCAATACAAAGTGTAGAAATCATAGTATAAACAAATCTATTGTTTCAGTGTACCTACATTCAGTTCATGGGGATCCAAAAAATCGAGAATCCTTGTTACTTAATGCAGACAATCAAATGTTTTGTGTATTTTCAGTAGTGTTTTCTAGTGATGGAAGAGAATTATTTTGTGGTGGAAATGACGGCTGTTTATACATTTATGATAGAGGATCTCAGCAATGCACAAAAGTAAGTGGATCAGGTAAATTAATTAACTTCTTTTAATAAACTTTAAATCATGTATTTTCTTTTTTCCAAGGTTGAAGGACACGGTTATGACATAAACAGCGTCGCATTCGCTGACGATTCTTCACAAATTTTGTACAGTGCTGGAGATGATTCACTTTGTAAGGTGAATAATGAGTAATTGCTTTCAAGTTAAAATTTCTAAAATCCTATTTTTCAATCAGGTTTGGGACAGGAGATCCTTGCGCGAGGATGATCCCAAACCAGTTGGCACCTTGGTAGGACATATGGGTGGTATAACGTATGTTGATCCACGAAGAGACGGTAGGCATTTGATAACAAACAGTAAGGATCAAACAATCAAATTGTGGGATGCTCGTGTATTTTCAAGTTCAAAAGTTCAAGAGCAAGCTGAATCTTCAGTTTCTATTGCTTGGGATTACAGATGGCAGCATGTACCAAAGAAATGTTAGTTGTTCTCTTATTTTATAACATATTTGTATATACATGTTCATACAGTAAAAACTCTAAACCTTAATTTTAGTTTTATGCCCAAGGAAACCATTAGAAGGTGATACAAGTCTTATGACTTATCGTGGTCACATTGTAGTCCAAACGCTGATCCGATGTCACTTTTCACCAGCAGCTACTACTGGCCAAAGGTATATTTATACTGGATGTGGGACAGGATGTGTGATAAGTAAGATGACAATTATTTTAAATATGATCTTGACTTGTTGTAATTTTCAATTCTCATGAAACTTGATCCTTTTTGTAGTATATGACTTGCTTACTGGTGAGATAGTACGAACCTTGAAAGGACACAATACAGTTGTGAGAGATGTAAGCTGGCATCCATATCACCAAGAGATCGTCTCAACCTCGGTAATTTTTACATGCAACTTACTTATCCAGTTAATGTTGCTCAAAGATATTTATCCATTTTTTATCGCGCTTTCAGTGGGATTGCAGTGTAAAAAACTGGACCTATCGAACAGATGAGTACAAAGAAGATGAAAACTCGCCATTAAAAAGAAATTCGGATAATGACGATCAAACCAGACGAGAATCGCCAACTCTCTTACGAACTCGAAATCAAACTTCTGCTCTCAGACGCAGTCGTCGAACTATCTCGAGACAATCGTCAATTCGAAATTTCAGTTAATAGAGCTAGTTACATATGTTGTAAAAATTAATAGTCTAAACTTATTATGGTACAATCACCATGGTAACAAATGAAACGGTAAGATCATAAGCTTTATTGATATTAGATTAATTTATTTAAAGTTATTAATCTAAAAATGTATGTAGCTTTATTTTATACACGTTAGATTGTAAGCTATGATTACTTATACTTTTACGCTAAACCATACCCAGTAGTACATGTAAGTTATTGCTTACACTTTTCTTGAATGTTAACAGTATTTTATTATGCATCGAAATTTCATTGCAGAGGCACTTGCTTTTTTTTCGTAATTTTTATAATTTAAACTTTTTTCCGAAACCTGCGTAAGTACTTGTACACCTCAAATTATTTACTTTAAAGTTCGCAGATGAGCACACATTATGCAATTGTTACTTCGATATAAAAATTGTAAATAGGCAAAGGCAAAAATTTCAAATGATCTTTTTACAATGAATATTTGTTAAAAATTGTTTACACATTTCTGTCTAAATAATGATTATTTTAACAAATCAAAATTGTGTAATGTAAAATTATAATGAATCATATTCACGACCTTTTGTATAGATAATAATATACATCTATTAAATAAAGAAGATTAGTTACAAAACACTGTAATTCAATTTCGTACTTACGCAAGTCTGTCAATTTGGATTAAATATTTGTAACATCTCCAGGATTTTAAATAAATTGTACACTGCAAGAAAAAGTGTACATGGAAAAGAGAAAACCATTGCCATGGACTAAAGGCTTAAGTAAAAAAAAGTCAGTGCGAAAGGTTTGCGATGTCCGACTAGACGGCTCAAAATTTCGTCAAGTGTATCGAGGAGTATAGCACATGCATATATTTTATACTTGTATACACTCGTGCGTAGGACTTTTCACTCAACAGAGCAGTCTGCGACCTTCATTCTGTTTCTATTTTGCCTCATTCCCATGAACGGAAAATTCGATCAAAAACTGGTCTATTTATTTCAGCAAATGAGATTTTTTTCCTAGTATATATAATTTTTCTCGAAGATATATGACGTATTTTTTAATGACTATTGAAGATTTCACCGTAATTCTTAAAAAAAAAAGTATTTTTCTATTGAAGTTCGTGACGGATAATTCTATTAAACTTCATCACGTATTCATATAGAATCATACGATTGAAAAAAAAGTTCAATGACACTTCAAATGAAAATGATATGCAAAAATCCCTTGGGTAATTATAGAGTAGTAATTTCTTGACTATTAAAAGAAGAAAAAAAATGAAGCGTAGTAATAATGTATTCACTTCGCACAGATTGTGAAATTCAAACGAATATCTTAAGATTTAATAAAACTGATTGGTATATGCTTTTATACAACGATTTTCATCACAAGCGACTACATTAGTCACTTTTTCTCCATATCCATAATAATAAGTACGAATTTAATTAATTCGATACATTACGCTAAATTGGCGTATAATGATCGTTAACAGATACATCGCACGTGTCCTCATTTTACTGGTTGAACTATTTTATAATAAATAATACACAAATGAATATTTTACAATACATATAACAACCAATACTCGGAGTTCCAAAAAAGTATAGCTTAGAACCAAATTGAGTCTCGGCATGCGTATAAGAAAATCAGCGATCAAAAACCACGTTTGCGAAAAATTAACAAAACCCGCTCGATCGAAATGTTCCTGCAGCAATTAGAGACCATAATAGAAGAAAAAAAAAAAAAAAAAAAAAAAATTAATCACGATACCAACACACTCGCGCGAGTAACACTACTGCGTACGTGCGACTTGCATTGTCTAATGCAATATAATGTCTTGGGTGCACAATTCGATCGCGATACATGTCGAACGTAGAAAGAAAAAAAAAAAAGAGAGAAAAAAAGCGCGAGCTCCTCGACGACGCGACCTTCTTCCGCGTAATCGCAGGATTACCGGCGGCTTTTTACCTTTGCATGCTTCCCTGCGCTGCATTACGTGTACCGGCGATTGCGTAAAATAAAAGTGCATTACTTACAGACAAGAGACAATCTCCGATCGTCGCCTATACACACGTGGTATCATTCTTCCTCTGTACTACTTTGACGGGTCATCACTGCACATTGACGATTTTCAAGTTCGCACATTGACAGTAGCCGTTTGATATAACTTTTTTTTTTTTTTATAATAACATTTACCGTTTACATTAAAGATAATTAACGGGGCAACGTAGATGCGCAACAACGTACGCGTGCTTATACATAATACATATAGAGCCAGCGAGATGATATTCTCCGCTCACTTCGTTTTTCATGAACGTCAAATAATCAAGGACGTCGTGGGAAATGTAAATTTTATATTCTGACAAAAAAAATTTTTAAATGAAATTGACGAAATGTGCGTACGTACAAGTACTCACATGGTTGTGCAATCACCGACTGGAGTAATAACAATAATATTATTTTATGTTTCAATATATAATTTAATTCTGCAATTTAACGCACGCACTAGCTTTACATATATATACATGCATGATTTCATTACATATTGTGATTTGTAAAAAAAATAGTCCAATGGATGGATATCATGCAGAGTGTCGAATAATCAAACATGTGAATTCCTCGAGTTGTCCTGTGAAAAATAGATAAAATACCTAATGACACACAATGTTCCGCACAAAAGTTATGTACATATTAATAAATGATTTCATTATACCATACGTATAATATACAATAGGTGCAGTGCACCCGTATATTATCCAGTGTATTTTAATCGTATGTATTGTGGAATCGAGCTATTAATATATATATATACCTGCGAGCCTGCAATCAATGAAACGGACAATGGCACTGGAACTTTAATCGCAACAGCCTGCACGTGCCGCGCCCCTTTCAAGAGATGCCCTTTGTTTTGACAAAGATGAGATTTAAAAAAAAAATAATAAAATAAAATAAAACTTACATGACTTGGAAAGCCAAGGATCCCCTTTCGTCCGGCCGATCGGTCATCGCCGACTGACTCGCGCAACTTCTAGTTCGCGTAAAATCGACCTTGAGCGCGTTGCGTCGCGAAGCGAAGTTCTCGCGATTTTCCCAGGAAAACACGTGCCTCTTAAGGAAACGTCAGGGCGATTTTTACACTTTGCTTCATCTCCATCCTCTTCTTCTTCACCACTGCCCCCTTCCATCGAGGCTTTTTTTTTATTTTTATTTTTCTTAGCGACACTCTTAATTGATACCTACATGTGCTTGACGTACGCGAAGACATTAATTACCTACCGGCAGATCGAGAGCTCTTTCCTATGGAAAAGAAAAGCCCTTGAATGCCCCTTTTGGAGTCATCAGTTTATTGTTTGTTTATTGGGTTTAGTTTTTTTTTTTTTTTTTCCCTCTGCGCTACAGGTATCTATAGAAAAGCCAGGCAAGTCGCAGTACATAAAAACATACAAGTACCTACTAGCTCTTGCGTTTCTATATAAAAAAAACACAGCGGGGGGAGTGTATGTTTCTTTCCAATCGGGTCGCCGTAACTTTTTATGGCACGCTTCTCACATTAATTTTTTTTTTTTTTTTTTTTGTGATCTATGATGTTCCAGTTCCGGTAACAATTATAGTATCATCAGTTGGCCTGATTTGGTCGCTTCACTCGCTTATTAATATTATTACTGACGTAGGTAGATTGATTTTTTTTTTCTCTTTTATTTTATGTCCCACTAAAGAGGAAATTGAACTGAAATTGAATTACCTCAAACGAGTAAGAAAAAAAAAAAAGAAAATGGCCAATAAAATTGGGACTCAACAATGAAGTTCTCTCACGGTTTATGGCCACGGCGATGATGAATAATGCGATAACCATAATAAAAAAAGGCACATATTACCCTAAAGGATTGAGAGTTTTATTTGTACACTAACACAATGAGCATAGCGTTCACAATTAATAAACACGTAAAATGTTGCAAGTTATACGAAAATATATACAGCTTGAAAAGCGTTAAGTATAGTCCACTATATAATACTCGTGACCGATGCTTCGCCATTTGTGCGCGAGATTGCTTGCAGCTTATCGAGCGTGAAAAATTTAATTTTCCAGGGTAACGAAAACAACGGTATAGAATCGCGTGCCGGAGTAAGGCTGATTATTTAAAAAAATTTCAGTCCTTTCGTGTCCAGGGGTGGTTAGCACGTATAATGCATTTAAATGGAGTGTGTATCGATTGGCGCGAGCTTAGGGGGTCAGCGGGCAAAAACGACTTTGTGTCCGTCCGTGTTTTTGTGAGGCGCAAGTACAATGGAAATACGCGCATGGCATGTACCTACCACCTGCACAGGTAATACCCAAGTGTATAAATTAATACAGTGGGCTTGCAAATTTGCAACTTTTCGCTCGAATTAAGCTGCCTTTGGTTTTGAAACTTTTTGCGGCTGCAAGTTCGAGATGGTGTTAATGTTTCATCAAAGGTTGCCCATTCTAAGTTTCTCTGTCAATTAGGTACGTAGTGCGTGAATTAATGAATACGCAGAGGCCAAGGGCTGCAACGAACTTTACAAATCGACTTTTTTTTTTTTTTTTTTTTTTTTTTTTTTTTTTTTTTTTTTTTTTTTTTTTT